ACACGACCAACATGTACAGTATATACAAAACAAGAACAACAGTCCAGAAAGCAATCACATTAATAAAGCTTTCCAGTTCATATGCACAATCTACAAAAACGGCAGTTCTTAATCAAAGGTAATTACTATCCCAGCAAGAGTACAGATTGCAATAATTAATATCAACAGGTAAAAAAATTCTCTTTAATTGATTTCCGAAAATTGAACTAAATAACTAAAAGGTCCACACCAACAGCCATATATACGACTCAAAAGATGTTAAGAACACCTGATTCTTTCATGTTACTATAGTTACTCAGTCATGCATCATGACATATTGGAAATATGAAAGACTCAGGTGTTCTTTAACATCTTTTGAGTCGTATATTTTGTCAGGTCCATAAATTTGAAATAAACAAAAGGCTATAGGTTTAATAACAATTTGGGTTGATTGACAGGAAAGGTAACCAACATATGTGGCCAACTTTGTGATAAGGGACCAAATGGGTGAAACATCACATTTTGACTTCTCATTAAATTTTACAAGCTTCAGTTAACATTTGGACTCATTTTATGCAGAGTCCCATTTTCAGACTTTAATTCCACGTAGACATCTATGCTGAAATGTTTTGAAATAATGTTTTTATTACATTACGATAACGAGAGAAAAATAAGATATTTTTGTACAGTCAACACACATGGTTATGTTTTACAGAAGTTGAGGTCAAACTTCCCTCTTTATGACATCACAGCACAATTGTTTTCCTAGCACCCATAAAGTCCCTTTTCTCCTGGTCGATCACCCACATGAACCTTATCTAGCAACTGAAAGCTTAAGTATCTAACATTGAAATAAACCTACTTGTTGAAAAGGACAGAGCTGTTTTGTTTATTTTTGGAATGATAGAAATAGACATAAACTGATTTGATAAATATGATATTTTCTATATATTCCTACCATGTGAATAGTCAATGGATGTTAATAACAAAGCAGTTTTATTGAGCAAATACATTTCTTACTGAGATAAGATAAACAGTATTTATGACAAGTAAAATTATTCATACAGTTATGTGAATCTCAAGACTATCTTTAGTTTTACATCATTTTATTTTCAAACCGTTCAGTGATTGAAAAGAATACTAGTAAGTGTTTAAATGCTTCAATTTTTACATTTTTTTATAAAGTAGGTGGGAAAAAATAATCTTATCAAATTCTCTACTTTTCATTTGGCATTTTAGTGATTTAGTGTTTGGGAACAAAGACACACTGCTTTAAGTACCAAGGAAGCTGTGAATAGTTTTCTACATCTCATGCTTTGAGTGAACACTTACAGGTCCTTGAGAGTGGAACTCATCTGTTTGTACCTAGTAAGTGCTATTACCTGACCTGGCAGAAATAGAAAAATCTTTGAACTGACATTTTATCCCCACATGCTTGCACATTATAGGTTTGCAGATCTTTACCTAAGTAGTAAAAACCTACATGCCTTATTGTATTAATACAGTTAATTAAACCTAAGTACTAAACATGCACAGTATCCACAGTGAAATATTATGCATTGACAATTTATGCAGAATATCCAATAAACATCACTACAAAAACAGTTATCATCACGAGTCATTACAATTAGGTTAAAAGAAAGAAGATCCCATTTTAAAGTTAAATTCTAAATCTCTCAAGAGTCATAATATATATATATATATATATATATATATATATATATATATATATATATATTATAATTTTTATATAGAAAGCCCAAATGAAACAAATGGAATTTATTTACAAACACCAGACATCTGAGTTTGAGACATCAGTGACATAAATGACATCTGATGCAATTCCTTATTGTCACTAGAATCAAATGTTCTTGTGTTTATTCCGGTGACCAATTGATTTGCCTGTGCATGTATTTGCAACATCAGCCACCAGTGGGGCAGGATGTGCACATCTTTTCGTCAACACTTGGTATCATCACTACAACCCTGTTTTAGCAGAGAGTTCTTATGAATATGGAAAGTGTTTTGTTGCTTTTATCATGAAACACCTGCACAACTAAAAACTTACAGCATACTATCCACAAGTCCCTGTTTAAATCATTATACTGCTGATATTCCTGTATAGCATATTTCTGATGAAGCAGGTATATCAATGAATACACTTTTGTATTTCCTGTTCAGGTAATCTTAAAATAGATATTAAACACATATATCCAGAACTGTACTTCATATAAGTAAAAACAAATAAAATGTTTTTCTTTCTTGTTCATACAAAATCACAATCAAAGTAAATTGTCTGTTTTCGTTTAGTATGTGACTGTGCCAGGGTGACATTACATCACTCATGGCAATATTCCAGAAATATCACAGAATGGAAGGGGGGGGGGGGACACCAGAAATGGGCTCACACATTGTAGCCATGGACCACAAGGCTACCCAAAACCCTTTTTTTGCATTAATGTACCGTACACAGAACAAAAGTCCTAATATTACATTGATATGTCACAGACCTACTGCATTCTACAGTTGGATACAAAAGTCCTGAATCTGATTCGAAAACTATGCGGTCCTGAGTGAAAAAACACCTGACTTTCTCCATCGGATCCAAAATATTGTTATTATTGAGCCTGAATGTCAATGGCGTTTATTACACATTTCTCGTAAGTGATCAATATATGAAGATAGAACTTTTGAGACAACCCCCATGGTCCTATTCATCCTAGAAAAGAAATCAATAGTTTGAACGATGTACATATGTTGGAATCAATAGCAGCAGCATTACTACTGTAATACATGTACTACATTTGAACTAAGTTGTTCAATAAGAGCATATATCAAATACATATTTAGTGCAAACCAACCGTTTATTGACATACAGTCAAGCGTCTTTGGCTGAATCTTTAAAAGTTGAAAAACAAAGCATTTAAATAAAACTAAAATTTGAAAGAAACTACCCTTTACATATTTGACGCTAAGGACATCAAAATGAGATGAAATCTCTCCACTTGATAACATTTTGCTTTCAGCTTTCAATGTTTAAATACAGTGTGTGAAGACAATAAAGAGATGTGGGAAGAATCTGTTGGCATAACACATTAAGATTCTTATACTAACACAAGCATTGTAAACATACAGATATATAAATATGATAAATAATTTGGCAATTGGAATATTTTACTCCGTTGACTATGAGAATTTGCAATTTTTATACACACTTTCGATGCTAGCTGTAATGGAAATGTTAATCTGATTTGTACTTACAATGTTTCTAATATAAATATTAAATGTCATGCATACTAACACATTCCAACCTTGTTTAAAATATAGAAAACATTTAGATTCTTACTGCATTTTTAAGAGTTCCTGTTTTCTCTCCTTTCCCTTGAGCTGGCATGCAAGCAACAATACCTCCCCTCCCCTCCCCCCCCCCCCCCCCCCCACACCCCCACACCCCCATAAAAAAAAGAAAAGAAACAGGTAGAAGATAAAAACAAACCAAATCTGCATCTAGGCATTTTAAAAAAACACAAATTCCCATGAAACAAGTAATTCATTTGGGCCGGCCTAAGAGGTGCTTACACACAGTCTAGATCTATTATTACAGAGGTGATAGGTTCTTTGTCTCCTTAATTAACCTGAACAGGTAATACAAACACAACAGGTAACCTGCATCAGTGATAAACAAACTACAATTTTAGAAATGCCATCATTTTGACCATGGTCTGACATTTTCACCAGTGACACACACAATTTCTTCTTTTTCTTCTGACAAGAAATGTCTTGTGTTATAAAACATACATTCACCTTTATCATAAATCATACTGACAGTAGTGGGTGACCTCGCCTAGGTGAACACTACCAAGCTGACTGTCGTTCATTTCCCGATGAACATTAGTATGTCATGTGATTACGTTGTCAATCGCTCGGAGACATACAGAACTACTTTAGGGGAATTCCTCAATGTCTAAAAATAACATTAAAAATAATTAGGAAAAAACTGAGAGCGACATCGATTTAGGCTATGAATGATGCAGGCTTCGAAGTCAGACAGATCATGTATATGTCGGGTCTACGAAATAAAGCCTCCATTCGAAGCTCTAACAGAGAATGCTCGACTAAACAAAAGAAATCACCGAGCTCCACACTATCGTGCCACGGGAAATCCAACTGCGCCGCCTCAAGCGGTAATCCCTGTCATCGGCAGCAATAGTATAACTCAAACACACACCAAAAGTTCACAGAACGTTAATATGTATCCATTTTTAGCATGAGCCGGGTACAGATTTCTTTCCAATGCTTACTTTACTGGGTGCAACTAGTATTTCAAGCGAATGACATTGCGGTAGCCGCCATCTTCTGCCGTTTGTAAAACCAAGGGATGTCACCCCAAATGGAATGTTTGGGACGGATGACATCACGACATCATGACTCTCCGCATTGATATACTTTGTTTTCAGTAATTAAAGTTTGATGTTTAATTGATTGTTTTGTTATGAGATTTATGAATCTGTCAATATAAGGATTGAAGTTGTATTGGTTGAATTTACCATGATGCGCTTTGCTCACGTGAGGCACTGTCTTCATCAGCTGATAAACGTCAACAAATACAACTTCAATCCTTAAATAATTTACATTTAGCCTTTTGTCAATCAATCATAAATTACGTTTAGCTTTGTCAATCAATCATAATTATCTTCAATCATCATTGATACACTACAATGCAAATATATTTAAACTTGAAGATAATTGTCTCATTGAATGCAACTGGAAGCACTTGGGAAGCATTAGGGAAGAATGGCAAACTAACTAGGTTATGACAAAATTCAAATCTATTCTCTAACCTTTATGTGCCAAGTCATGTGAGGATTGAAATAATACAGAAATGTCATTGGTTGGTTGGTTGGTTTGTTGTTTTATGCCACACTCAGCAATATTCCATCTATATGACAGCAGTCTGTAAATAATTGAGTCTGGACCAGACAATCCAGTGATTAATATCATGAGCATAGATCCATGCAATTGGGATATGATGACATGCATCAACCAAGTCTGACCACCCGATCCTGTTAGTCGCCTCTTACGACAAGCTTAGTTGCCTTTTACGGCAAGCATGGGTTGCTGAAGACCTATTCTACCCCGGATCTTCATCATGATATGCAATATTACCAATACCACATATACACCTACAAGAGCTGTTTTACCAAATGATACCAGTTTAAAAATCAGTATTGAAAAAGTTCCTAAGTGGTGTATATTACTTCACCTTAAATACCACATAAATCTCAGAATTTCAAAGTTGGTGTATCCTGATTTTGACAATGGATCTAGATATTGACAATGTATCCTGATATTGACAATGTAACCTGATATTAACAATGGATCCAGATATTGACAATGTATCTTGATACTGACAATGTATCCAGATATTGACAATGGATCCAGATATTGACAACGAATCCTGATATTGACAATGGATCCTGCATTCCTACATGCCTAGCATCTAAAGGTCCTGGATGTAGCTCCTGTGTGTCACCACTGTCACCATATTGAAAATGCATGCATTCATTGTTTATAGAAGATTAAATACAATAAACTTTGAGCAAACGGAATCAAGGTGGGTGGAATCAATTTCAAGAAATTTTAAGAAAAGTAACAAAACCATATCCCATACAAAGTACATTACAGAATGAACATAATAGAGAAAATCTGTCCCATATTTATCTGCTGCATTGACATGACAGAATATTGTGTAAACATCTTAAATTAAAAGTTTTGCAATTAAGAATTTCAGTACAGTGAACATAACGTGCATGCTGACAAAAAAACAAAGGTAACCCTTGTATAACGCAATTAACAAATACATAAACTGTAACCAAAACATTCCTCTCTCAGGTTCGTCTTGATGAATTCAACATGCTAAGCACTGATGTAAAAACAAACAGGTTAGTAGTCTTGTTTATGAAGTAATATTGGTGAATGGTAAATGTTAGTATGTTACAATGGACTTGCAGTCATGTGATCAAACACACATTTTTAAAATGGTGGTTCAAATGATGCATGTACACATACATTGATGCATGTAGGACATGCATACAGAATATGGGGACTGTAGGCTGTAGAGAACCAGAGGATGCAGCCATATCAGACTGAAAAAACATATATGCCTCTTGATTATCAGAAGAAATGTAAAGGTGAGATGGGCATAGATCTTTGAAAGGCATTTAGTCTGTCTCCCTGACCCGAGAGAATAAATTAAAAAAGGAACCCAACTCAAGTCTACAATTTGCTAAGTCTAAATTGCGTCAAGGATTGTTCTAGGCTCCATTTGGATCTTATTATATTTTTAGTAGATATAGATTCCTAAACTAGGGAACTTTATTACTGGGACTATATGTCAGTCCAAAAGGCATTTAGAAGTGGTATACATCAGCCAAGATTCATGGACGTTAATGTAGATAGGTCCATAACCCCTGGAGTAAGGGTGGTCGTATTACCGGTAAATTGAGGTTACTTCTTTCGACAATACATATTACAATATCATTTCTTAAAGATTGGCATATCGGGTAATTTCAAACAGCGATTTCTTATCATGTGTTTAATGTTATACACTTGCCAAATACCTTCACTGCACTAGCATGCATCTCGAACTTCGAAATGGCTGTTTATTTCTTGAATGAGTAAATTATGTTGTACCAGCATCTTGTTTTGTTCTATTTATGAACTTCAATTCATGCATTCATGTATCTGAATTCAAAATTTAGAATTACACAATATATTGTGATATGTATCGCAATACAGCCTTGTGCATCGTAAAATATTGTAATACACTTTAAACCTCCAATACCCATCCCTAGCCTGGGGAGTATGGTCTTGCCACATCACTGACAACACTGGGTCTCTGTCCAGTTAAACAAGCTGACATCAATACAGCTTTGTGCTCACAGATGAAATTGTCTGTAATTTCGGTTTCTGAAACATGTCTAGTACGTCTAGACTCATCCTCAATAATCCTCAGTATCCTATCTGCAATCCATTATGATAAACACCCTGTACCCATTCGCTGTGAATTGACGTCACCACCGCCATCGCTCCTATCATTAACTTAGCACTGAATTTCTCTCACTCAATTCAATTCAGACTCCAAAATGAAGCAGTTGTATTGAATGTGTCAAGGGTATATACCAAAACAGTATGGCGACATGATACACTGGAGATTGACGATGGTCTAGTCTGAATCGGCTAACTGTATAAGGTGGTCGAAGCATATAGCATGTCGAAGAGCAAAAGTATATTGAAAGAGCTGGTTGTGTATTCTGAAATACTGTTTTTTCCTTACCACTTGGATACTAATTCCAACAGTATTACTTTTTGTACTATACTTTACATAGCTATTTAGGCAGGCAACAATAGTGTTTGATTAAGAAAGGGCATTAACAGATTAGTGCTGTAAGTTCATAGGAATAAAGCTATAAGAATATTAACTCATACATGGCATATAGGGCATATTGTCACACTACCAGGTAGTAATAAATCCTTTTGAACACAACTGTAATGGATTAATGTACATTGGCTATATAATATGAAATTGAAATTTACATAATATGTCTGATATATATATAGTACACGTATGTAAAGGCTTTCGAAAGGTTACACATCTTTCAGAGGCTACTATTGTCTTTATGACTGAATACATAATGCCTAATGCCAAAACGATAAATATATGAATGACAGGGAGGAAAGTTATTATTTTTAATGGAATTGTAGGAAGTTAGAGCTTAAGAGGCCAATTGTATAAAACTGTGAGGTGAGGGGCATTTTATAAAATATTCTGTTCCACAAAATACTGCAATAAAATAAGTTTGCCTCCTGTTTCAAAAGCAAACAAGTGGTGAAGATCCAGAAAAAAATGTGTGGTGAAATTATTTTTGTGTTAAGCTACTCCTGGAGTAAACAAAAATTGTGTTCAATTAGGGACCGAAATATATCCCGTCTCTAACAAAAGATTCCCTCTCCCAACAAAACTAAATGGTTAAGCTGTTGAGGTGTCTAGGAAATGAGTGACATGGGAGGGATGTGACAGACACATGCTACTGGCAAGGGATGAACTGAACCTGTCAATGCTAGTACTACACTTGAAAGATGTGCAACCCATTGAACAGAGCCTCTGGGTGTAACAATACAATGACCTGACCTCATTCATCAGGAGTAGCACTCAGTGGGATGACTAACACATGACGACAGCATGATGTTAAGAAACGTTTGTTTTTTGTAACTTCAGCTGCAAATACATTATCATAAATCAACTTAGAAAAACTTTTACTTAACACCAATATTATTACTAAGCAATCATAACACTTCATCGATCATTCTCACTTTTAGAATAATGCTTCCTGTCATTGACTCTACGTCACTGCCAAAGGTTGGATTTTATTGTCTAGATATCAACAATGTTTCATTTATATCAACTAGAGGAATTTTCTACTCACCTGTATTGGCCTGCCTGCTCTACATTTTTTGTGGAATATAGTTGCACACATTTGTCTATATTTTCACTCTACAAACCAAGCAAGTAGTATGCAAACAAGGAAATGAAAACAGTGAGGCCTAAAGTTGTCCCTTAAACAATATGAGACAATGTTTGCTTAATGCTTTCAAATGGTTAATAGTTTTGCTTGAACTATATTTTCATGAATTTTTTTTAAAAGAAAAACAAACAAACAAAGAAGTGTCTTTGAAAAGAAAGTGTTTTGATATAATTTCCTGCATCCTAAGGCATATTGGGTTAGAACTTCACATTGGTTGTCATCCTAATACAGACGTTTCCAGCCTTTATTTGCATCTTGGAAGTTGTCATAGAAACACGACAGAAATCGGTCCAGAATAAATTAGAAAACAACATGTTTTCAAATGATTTGGCCGAATTATCTAGAACACTGTCATGATTTCACCTTATTTGATAAGACATTCTTCTATATCACTACCAAATTCAACAAAAGCCTAAGGATATTTCCAATAACAACCAGTCAATAGGAACCTATCAAAAACTTGTGTTGTGTTATGTAACCCATCTATAGATATTCTAAACCATTGCATTGATACACCTCCGCTGAAAGTGTTTGGGCATTATGATAATGAAACAGTATACTAAACATGATCATAAACATTCTTCCAACAAAGCAACAAGGATAGTTCTGTAGCAGATATCTCTCAAGTCTCCTGCATCTAGTTGAAGCATCCTCACACTGCTCCATCATTCAGTATGCTATAAATGCCATCAGCATACACTCCCTGTATAAACACTTTAGGTATTAACCAAGTTAACAAAAGAGGTTGTTTGAAAAGGTCTCATGTCATCTTTGTTAAAAGATGTCATTTAAAATATCAATATAATTTCCAATACAGGTATAATTTGACTAATCAAATAGTACATTGTGTTCTCTACAGTGCTAAACACATAGAAAAAAATTACAAAAACTCATCGCTGAAATGAAATTGTACAGATATAATTTCAGTAGTATTGGTATGAAAGATGTGTTGTCCCTCCAACCATAACACTGTATGTAAGGTATGAATTAACTCGGAATGAACAGTTTATAATCAGAAAATGACATGATGGTTTTTGAGACAACCCCTACACATTTGAAAGAAGATCAATATTGTGTTAAACATCAAGAACACTCAATGAAATCTACATAATGGAGATTACACACGGGACATAAGTATCATTGAAACACCACAACAATGAGGGCTTTTGAAGCATGCTTAATGTAGAATAGCTGTCATTACCCTGTGAAGGTGTGAAAGCAAACATGTTCACTTGAGAGTTTTACTTCAACCACATGAAGGTAATTCTGCATTTCTTTCAATCAATGGTATCTACTGACTGAGTGACTATCGCCATCTTCAAAAACATGTTTGCATCTTACAGATGTTACTATCGCTATCCTCAAAGACATGTTTGCATCTGAACAATATAAGAAGTTTTGTGTAGTACTTTTTAAGATTTGAAATAATATAAAACTCACATTTGTGACAGAAATAAAATTCGAAAATTTACAAAAAGTTGCTTAAATGTTCAAATGCAGGTTTCCAATATTGACATGGCAACTTTAGCTATGGACAACACCTTTGAGCAAAGGTGACTATTTTTATCCTTAGCAAATGTTGAGTAGTGTAAGTTGTCGGTTAATATATGTTTGAAACAGAAGTCATAGAAATTGGGTGATTGTTTTTTGAGACAACCATTTCTGTTCAGTGTAAATGCAAACAAATCATTTGTTTCGGGCGAGTTATCAGCCACTCACACTTGTAAGAAATACATACAAGATAAAAAGATTCAAGAAATACAATAGGAAGGAGATTGAAAAAGGTGTTTTCTTATAAAACAACAAAGTACATGCTTCATACTTAACAATCATGAATGTCTACAGACAGGACTACATTCACAGAAGTGATGGAAGAATGATAAGTGTCAATGATTCGTAAAAGATACCGTAACAGAAAGAGTGACACCGAATCACAAATTGTCAACGTCAACATTGAACATCAATTTCAACAACATTGCAAAAATAACAAAGAAAAGGTGAAAATGTGAAGCAGACTATAGCATAGCTAGTTAATGTTTCTTGGTGTTTAGTGATGAAAGAACAGGTGAACTTGTAAAACCATAGCCAGATCCTGCTTTGGTGATCATACTGAAGAAAACCTGAAAGTGGCACTTTCCATTCGAGGGTAACCTTAATAACCCCAACTGTTGTTGTTTGTTGTTTAATGCCACACTCAGCAATATTCCAGCCATATGCCGGTGAACTGTAAATCCGGATACGATGACATGCATCAACCAATTCCAACTAAAGTCATGACGATAACTGACGTGGACAATCAAAGTCTGAAATACTATTCAAAATTACAGTTCTGTCCAAACATGGCTGGATAGGACTTTACAAACACTTTGGTTCAAACCACATATCATAATTCCGAATATATACAAATTACGAAGGGTGACACAGAAAATGGCATATACAGAATAATCAGAACCACACCATTTTCAGAAGTTTTCCTCTTCACGGCCAAGTGCCACTATCCACACCATCGACTCAAAGATTTTCAACAGCAAGGACCAATCAAGTTCTGGCAACAATTCTATATGTCCAGCCTGTTACAAGGTCACTGTGTTCTCCACCAACCTTGCATTGTCTTTGGCATTCTGTTTGTACATCTAGTCTGCGACTAGGGCTGGATTCCATATTCACTGCCATGTGATGTCATTTGATACTCTCTGCTTGACACCAGGATCTTAAGCATTCTGCTTTCATTAACTTGGAGCAGGCACTTCAACCCAGCTATATACTAGTAAACTCACAATCTACCTAAATAATTTAATAGTTTTAAGTAAAATTGCACCAAACTAAATCTTTATGCTCATCTCTATGATAGTTTAAAGAATTATATACTGATAACCTATCAACTTGTCAAAATCAATTTCGCATAACACCTTTTTACAAAAGCGTTGATGTTTTATACAAAGACACCAATTTATTTACCGAAGTTTTCTAAAGTGAAAAAAGAGAGAAAAAATGTTTTCTTACAAAGTTACATTCTTCATCTTCCTTCTGGATGCTTACACATAGATTGCTATATAAGATCTGCATGTTGCAATTTCCTGAATTATTTACTGTTTACTGTCAAAGAGTTCTCATCAACAACCTGCTCAACAGACCTGCAGTGTCTAGAGACTTCGAGCCAAGTTTCTTGCCATTTACAACTGATTCACTGAATGAAACAGACACTTACATTCAATGGTGCCTTGTGCCATTACTCCATCATTGCCACCACTTTCAATATCTACATCTACTTAATCCACAGATTATGCTAATCACAAAAGGTTCCTTGATAGAAATATCTTCACTGTTTCCTCAATGGCTAAGTTGGAATGTGGAACACCGAATCCAACACTTATCACAGACCGGATCAGCGCATCCTGGCTACACTGATAAATCCCCTTCTGTGTCCGAGTCTTTTTGATTGACTACAGTACACGATGGTTCTACACCTGCTGCCCCGATATGATCCATTAACGAATGAAGCTCGGTACATTCAGAGTCACTGGAATGAGCACAGTCTTCACTTGGATCACAGGTGACGTGACTGGAATCTATACTAGCCCTGCCAGCACTGGTGCTTGTCTCACCCCCATGGTGGAGACACAGGTGCTGGGGAAGGAGGAGAACCTTGACCTCGCCGTCTGCACTCTGCTCATCCCCCACGGAAGTCTGCTCAATATCCTCGACAGGACCCATAGCGTTGCCACTCTCCCCATCAGGGTGTACACTGTCCTCGCTGCCGCCGACCTGCAGACATACAACAAAGGCTCAAAGTGAGTGAGTGAGTGAGTGAGTTGGGTTTAACGCCGCTTTTAACAGTATTCCAGTTATATCACGGCATGTCAGCTTAATGTGGGAGGAAAGCCTGAAGTGATACAGGTCTCAGACGTTTACCACCTCGGTGAAACCCACGAGCACGGGTATGGTGCTGACAAACCTAGAAACATAATCGGGGCGAACCGGGATTCGAACCCACAATCATAGGTTTCTGGCGTGTTCAAGGGACGCAACTCTGCACAGCGAATCGCAGCGCCTTAGACGACTGGGCCACCCGTGCCCCCCAAAGGCTCAAAGAGTCAGAGTCTGGTTAAACACCGCTTTGAACAGTTTATCCATCAAATTATCATAAATCATTTTGCATGAAAGAAAAATTCACCATTATCTGCAGCAAGTGAGTTGTTCCAATCATTCTGAGTCAACAACATAAACATGATAAAGAAAAACATTTATGTAGTGCAAACAACCAGAAGCTGTCAATGGTACTCACATGCATCCCATAAGCTCGGAGTATATCTAATTTACACATGGGGCAACTTCGCTGATCCAGCAACCATGGATCCACACAGGATTTATGAAATACATGCCTAGGGAGATAAACAGAACATGATGGAGAACATAGTCAAAAGTGTCAATACAATATAATACTCTCAAAAATATTTTACATTTTGCTGACATTTATGACCTATTTACATTGAAACTTGTTGTAATCCTTTCTGATTTCTTCTTCTGACATAGTGAACTTTGAGTGAGTGAGTGATTGTGGTTTTACGCCACTTTTAGCAATATTCCAGCAATGTTTCATGTCTATCTAACAGTATAGATTGGCTGGCGTATATCTGGACAACGCAGTGTTGTGTAAGCAAATTAACAAGATGTGCCAGGTTAGTGAAAGTTCCTGATAAGACAACTGACGGTGAGTAAGGAAACAGGATGTTATTTACTAAATCCTGTACTGGCTTGTTTGTCAATGTGTGGAGTGTATAAAATAAAGATGTCTCCTTTTGTGTTGTTGGTTTGTTTGTAAATATTACTGTGTCGTGAAACTATTGCATGTGTGTCAATTGCAGTTTTCACAGTACTTTACTGCTTGTAAAACCTTCCAGATTTACAGTATGACATACTACAGCAATACTACAGCCATATCATGGCAGACAAAAGCCCAAAGCCAGTGACTGATGGCATGAGAAAATACCCCAGTTATTGGGCATGTCGGGCTACACACTGTCACCATCCAATCCTCACTAAAGTCAGTCAAACCTTACGAGAAACAGCGCTACTGGGGACCTACACTCTGCCAGAATACTCTCAGGGTCTGCCTCAGTCAAACTAGTGCTTGACAACCAACACATTAGCATTCAACACAATTTTGCCAAATCGCACAAACCATATAATCCCCAAGTAAAGGACAAGGGAGACCTATTTTGCCCATGTTCATGTTTCTGCTAGTTTACTTACTTGCAAGGAAGCGTCCTAATGACATCATGCGCCTTGTATCCTTCAATGCATACAGCACACTGGTCAAAGTCAGTGCCCATTTCCTGGTGAAGAGAAAAATAAATACAGATCAGGTCATGCTGTCAGCTGAAAAGCTATGTGTTACATACAACAATAGCAGCTCTATTACTTTCCCATTCCATGACAACACTCATATCCACTGCCCAGTTGAATGCATACACAGAGTGAGGGAGCAAGCCTTTGATTTTCAGGGATGGGTATTTTCCTTAATAAAATGATTAAGTCCCTGATCCACTGATTTTTTTTTACATATGCCCTCACCATCCTGTACAGAACACAATATCAAAGTGTCCAAACATTACAGTTTGTTATTTTTATTTTTCTAAAAAAACAATTTATGCTGGAAAGAAACTCCATTAAAAAACTGCAAAACTGACCCCCCTATCTCCACGCGCACGCACGAACGCACGCACACACGCACGCACGCTCACACATTCACTCACTCACTCACTCACACACACACACACACAAAAAAAGACAAAACAAAAACACCTCCAAACAGTTGCTCCCTAAACAGTAAAGTAAGTTAGTAAGTTCAGCTACTTTAAATATGAACCACAGGTGTCGGAAGACTTAAGTAACAAAATCTTATGCTCATTTACTATCAAACACCCTTGTCTATGAATACGCAAGAAGCGAAATGTCATCTGAGAATATGACAACCTACTTCTATGGACTGGTACATTGGTGATACATCCCACCCAGTAGATAGCAGAATAAAAAAAACCAACAACTTCAACAGCCAAAGCAGAAAGCAAATCAGCCCTCTCAGACCACCACTAAGAGTTCCTAGCCATCAAATTCAGTTTGACCAAGTCCAAATCCTCTCTACCAATCATCAGGACTTCACAAAAAAGAAAACTCTGGGAGGCCATAGAAATCTGCCGTCACAAACCTTTGATCAACAGAGATTAAGGATATTACATCCTGTTTGCCTATGAAGATCAAATCAAGCAATCAGATTGTCCAACTCATTAACCCCTCCACTACATCTGGCTTCATTACCAGTGTACTTCTTCACCTGTGTGCTATTTGTTATTCTTACTGTACATCTGTTCATCCAATTCTCTGTGAGCTACTTGTTATTTATTACCTGTTGTGTTTAATGTTAATCTGCTGCTTATCACAACACATCATGTATATAAACCCCTCATTACTTAGTAAGGATAAGATATATGGATGAACAACTTCTTTATTACAAGTAGGAGCGATGTTTCAGTGTAGGTTCTAACACTGTTATTAAGGAAATGCCTCTTAAAGAAGTTACTCTCATCACTTGGTAGTTGTCTCTGTCGGTGTAAGAATCTACATGGAAACATTGCTATATACAAGAAGGGCAAAAGTGAGCGTGGCTCACTAATACCCCCGACCCGCCTAGTGTGTCAGCAGTTTCAAATTAAATAATGGATAGGGTTAGGGTTTGAAAAAATTAATTAAAAAATGGAAAATTAATAAAAACATTTTTTTCTTTTGAATGCTCCCTCCATATGACACAGATTATATGTTCTAAGTTTGAGATGAATCCACTGAATAGTTTAAGAGAAATCGCGTGGACAAAGTTTTCGGATGGACAGATGGACGGACGGAACCTTGGAATAACTATATACCCCTGACCTAAAAGGTCGTGGTATAACAAACCAGAAGTTCCTATCCATACAGTTGTATGCTTTCCTGACCAAGTCTCATCTATCAATGTTATATTTCCAAGAAACAATCAATATTTATTTGAGGGTACACCTGACATTTCTCTGTAGTCAGAAAATATTTGTCAATTTGCATTAGCTCTATATTAACTGACACGGTTCCTTTTGTGTAAGTATGAACAAACGTATTCAATGATGTCATGACTTCTCAAGACTTTGAAATAGCTGTACACACGAATGCAAGTCACTGGGTTGCCAGTGGTCAAGTGTTAAAATCATGTATACAGGAGAAGTCATGACACCATTGTAATGAAAGCTAGCTTTAAAAAGAACACCTCAATTTGAAGCTTAAGGATGTCTGCTAGTCTGTTTTTTCATACACTGTGCAACTCACACTGGTGTATGGGGACTCCTTCAACGACACATTCAAGTCAGTCTATCAACTATATGAAGAGATGAAACCAAGCAAAAGACAGCAGGAGTCAAATAGTTGGTGTGATGTACCACACAAAAAGAGAATTTAACATCATGCACATCATCAACGAAATATTGCTGTATGTTAGAAATTGTGGGAACTATGTACCATGATATACATGCAGGTGTATCATCCATTAGCTTAAAATATTGTGCACTAACATAGAAAAATTATGACGTTTTCTTATAGATGAAGATCTTATTTGTATGTTGATGAAATATCTAAAAATTAAATTGTGATATTGGTAAGTGATTTCCCTATATTCTCCCACAGTAACGTGCATTTCACTCATAAATTATCTTGAGGGTTTTGAGCAACAGAATGCACACCACCATTTTTCCTAATTTGTACACTTAAGATTAAATACATTTTTTTAGAAACATGTATCTTAGAAAAAGTAAATAACCCTTAATACTGACATCCTTAATAAAATACTAAGTAAACACATGGTTATAATGTTTTGTTGATGTTGTGTTCATTATTTAAACCTTCCATGGTTTGTTCTCATAAAAAACAGTGTGGTTTTTTAAGCCTTCTTATATTTCTTGGTTTACAGATGTTTTGGTTAAAAACAAATAATTGGCACAAGGAATAAAATAACAAAGAATACATTTGAGATCTGTTTATTTAATAAATATGTTTATGCTATGTGAGAAATGACATTTAAGCCTGTCTCACTGGTCTTGTTGTTTAACCTGATTGTGACAAACACAAAAGTCTTAATTGCTTATCAGATTATTTTTTCAGTTTTCATTATTATGGGGTCGGGAGAATTATCTTAAGAAATGTCCCGCCTTATCGGGATTAATATCTAACATATATGAACATGTCTGAAATTCTCTACCTTATCTCCATTCTTCACAGTCTTTTGTGGAATCTTGGCAATGGCTTTCTTTGCAGCACTTGCTAGTCGCCTCTGAAAATGTAGAACACAATATTTGAGGGCACTGCAGTCAATACTAAGTTAGCATATACGTTCAAAAGAGGTGAAATGGGTTGAATGTCACATTCAAGATTATTGCACGCTATAGAGCGACGTGCATTGATGAATGTGTATATGTCGGTTTCATAGAACTAGCCCACTGAGATACAATGTCACAGTTTAACATGGGTGCCCCACTCAGACACAATATACTGACTCTTAGCCAACCAGTTTTAACCCTTTAATGCTGAGTGCCAGGCAGGTTAACAAATACCATATCTTCTAATGTCTTTGGTATGATGCAGCCAGAGACCGAAACCATCGACCTTCCGTTCTCCCAGAGATGGTCAAAAGCCCAGAAATAGCAGTAGTATTTTACAGTGAGAGCGTGAAACATGTTTGTTTGTTGTTTGCTGTTAAACACCACACTCAGCAGTACTCCAACTAAAAGACAGCTGTCTCTAAATTATCAAACAAAGTCAGTGAGTCAGACCACCCAATTCCGTTAGTCGCCTCTTACAACAAGCATAGTCGCCTTTTACGGCAAGCACAGGTTGCTGAAGACCTATTCTACCTCGGATCAACATGTTTATTGCTATCAGATGTCACATGTCAACTGTCAACATAGTAAGATAATATTTCAACTATCAGCCTTGTAAGTGCAGTAGTATTCAGTAGCCCTGGAGCCTGTGACTGATGCAAAACATGGATGATGACATACCGAAATATTCCACATTCACTGAAGACATGAATGAACAAAAAATGACAGCAGCCTTATCTCTTGATTTGCACATAGATGTTACTCTATGCATCGATTACAGTGAATACCAGTGCGGCAAGCACTTCAGTTAAGCAATGACAAACTGCCTCATCTTGCACTAGAAATGTTATTGTCAATGAATTTACAAAGTGTAGAATATAAGACGCCTCTAATATGGCTTTTAAAAGATAGGAAAAGCCTGGATATCATTCCCTCTTTTATATTCCAGACATATTATTTGTTGTTCCTTGAACGAAACAATTTCATACAACTAAATACGGAAAGAGGGAAACACTGCCATGACAGGCAGGCGAGACATGTTGAATACATAGCCGCACGGAGGTGTCTATAAACGGAGCTTACATGCATATTCCTGAACTCCTAGCCCTATCATCTCATGTTTAATACAGATATCTAATGTGTGTACAAAGTCTTCCGATGACATTACTCTTTGCCATGTTGTGTGCAAGGTAGCTATTCAGTGTGGATAACTGAAGCATTTTCAATCTTTACTATTCTTCAGTAGACATGTCGTAGAGAATAATTTTTGTATGTGAGTTGGGTTTAACGCCGCTTTTAACATTATTCAAGTAATATCACGGCGTGTCAGCTTAATGTGGGAGGAAAGCCCGAAGTGATGCAGGTCTCAGACATTAACCACTTCAGTGAAACCCACGAGCACGGGTATGGTGCTGACAAACCTAGAAACATAATTGGGGCAAACCGGGATTCGAACCCACAATGATAGGTTTCTGGCATGTCCAGGGGACGCAACTCTGCGAATGATTTTTGTAAGGAATGTAGAATATGTATGTATGTATATCATACTTGATTATCCAGGGCGCTACAAGGGCTGATTGATAAGTTCTGAGCCTCACACAGAAAGACTAAAACTAATGACAATCAAAAAGCAGCTATGACATTGTTTGAGTCAAAACGGGTTCTGGACAGAGCTTCCTACATGATTAGGAACAGATGGAAGTCCAGATTAGGAGAATAAGTGGAGTGCTGAAGGGGTTCAAAGCCATGGTAGTCATGGCAATGACTGATTTGATCAATGATGTAATATCAAACTGAAAGAGCACACCTTTCCTTTGCCCTAATTTCATCCCATTATTGCCTGAAAAGTGAAGCATAATATGCTCCGCTTTTATTCGGTCCTTTTGGAAGATAATCCACCATGATGATACATGGAGCATCCCAGAACACAGAGTCTATAACCTTTCCAACTAACGGTGGCCTGCTTTGGTGGCGGTGATGTCAAATGTTTCCACTTTTTATTGTTGTTTGGACCCAGGTTTTATCCATGGACACAAATTGTTGCAAGAACCTTTATGGATCAGCTTCAAACAGAGCTACATTATCACAAGACATGTTGTGCCTGGTGTTTTTGATCGGATTTCACTCGCATTTGGAACTCATTGAGCTGATACTTTCTTTATACCAAAGTATCTGGGATCATGGGATATACTTTCTCGTGGGAAATGCCTACCAAACTAGCAAAATGACTCACTCATTCGACAGTCTGTTATCACGATATTATTGATCCTCGGAATCATTCTGGTGTTGCGACCCTCACCGACCTTTCAAGAAGGAGATCATCTTCAAAGCTTCCCTGGCACACGTTAACTCTTTATGGTGGCATAGTAAGGGGCATCCTTCCCAAGGTAGTACATTCATGAATGAATTTTGCCACAGCTAAAACCTCTGCTCAAATAACGTAATTTTTTGTGGATATACCTCTACAACATAATGTAGTGTCCACAACAAGTAACGTCACTATCTCAATCTCTCTCCTAACTCTGCACGGAATCCTTCTCAGTCATGAGTGTAATTTGATTGGACACCACATCATTTGAATCAGGCTTTAAAACATGTTAAAAGACAGTTGACAGCGAATGGGTCGAGAGTATTAACCATGATATACTACTCAACATTTACTAAGGATCAAAATAGTCATCTTTAGTTAAAGGGGTGGTCCTCAGCAAATGTTGTATTGTATAGAATGCAGATATAATACATTAGATAACCAAGGATGATTGAAATGTTCAAAAGAAATCATTCAAAACTTACTGCAAGTCGTTCCTTTGCATGAGCATAGCGGAACCGCTGGATATAGTAGAAGACGAGCCACGCAAGGGAGATAATCATCAGCACAATAAAAGAGACAGATACAAATACTACTGAAGTCTTGCTTGGGTTCTTATCAGTGCTGCTGTCCCTGCTTGTCTTTGCACCGACAGTGATTTGCATGGTCACATTGTAAGCCGTGTCAAGGAAGCCAGCTATTGTATTACCCTCGCTGTATGGAATTGAAATGGCGATGGCCCCTTCAACTGAAACACAAGAATGCACAGTGAATACCATATACTTATGTCACATTCAGTTTACAAAGTATTCATAAACAGAACCTAAAACCATGGTTGCTTCATGGCAGGTTCCAAGCTGACGTTTTATTTTCATTTAGTTCTTCTAACTTTCCAAAGATGTCACCAAGGGTTCAGATGTGATGAATTAAGTTTGGTCAACCAAGGCTTATTATCATTCATATGCCAACAATAATGTATTGTGTTTGGCTACAGGAGTGTGTGCACTAAAGTGAGTGAGTGAGTGAGTGAGTGAGTGAGTGAGTGAGTGAGTGAGTATGGTTTTACCCTGCTTTTAACAACATTCCAGCAATATCACGGTGGGGGACATCAGAAATTCAAGGATATCCTTGAATGGGCATGGAATTAAACTCTCTGACTTATCCTTACGTATGCTAAAATGCTAAGTTCAAGATTAAAGGGTCCAATGATGAGTAACAATGCTTCTCCAGGAATGTGGAAGTAGTATGTCACTGAAAGAATACAGTCTCGTGAAAAACGTATGAACATCAAAATGTGTCGTTCATACCAGGGGTCCGGAAAATTTAAAATCCCAATCGGACATTTACATCTAGGCCACGCCCCCTTCAAATAGCGTATTTTAGTACGACTTTTCACACACATTACAAGTTTACGTATTCATAATATGATGAATTATGAATTGTTTCAATTTAAATTGTTTAATTCAACGGACAATTAATAACAAATAATATCATTTTAGATTTACATGGAAAACATACGTTTGTTTCTGTCATAATAACGATCTATTAACGTAGTGAACGGTCTAATTAATATTCATGAGTTATATTCATGAGTCTGCTCAAGTGTACGCGTTGTAACATTTGGATCGAGACTATTATCCCATATTTGGTTATCACGTGACCTCACGGGAAAAGGTTTTTTTTAAACTAAAGATTTTTTTAAAAACAAGACAGATAATTTAATCACAAATACTAAAATATCGTTGATAGCAATAGTTATTTGAATACTTTTTTCATCTGTACTTAATTATTGACCATAAAAAAATTGGATATCGATCGTCCGAGAAAGCAAAATGGCGGTCAATCAAGATTCAATATACGACTAGCTACTGAAAAAAATAAAATCTGCAAATCCTCATTGTATGTCAACCAAGTGAAAGCCGTTAGCCACGACTTACAAAATGATCGTCCAGACTTTGAGGGTTTGGCAGATCCGCTCGACTGATCTGCATCGGTCGACTGGCTGTCGTCACGCTTTCGCTTCTTGTCTGAGGTTACATATCATAGCATTGTGAGGATAATGAGGTACATCGATGATGCAAGGTATTAATGTACAGTTGTAAACACTTTTCACTCAAATTAACAAGATGTTCTCAGTAATTAATCCTCGATTAATCAGTGTCAACTCAGTTTATTGCCTATAACAGTGATTGACCGATTGGACTATCATGTAGGTACGATGTATTTACAGCAATCAAAACAAACAAAGCTTGTCAGGGTAGTTAATCTTCATTGTGTTGCAACTGCAGACAGAAACTGCTCAGTCCTAACTGTTGATCATGTCCGGTCAAAATTTAAGAATGTCCGGACAATACTTTTTAAAATGTCCGGTAAGCAATATTTTAAAACGGACATTTGAGATTCCCAATCGGACATGTCCGGCGCATATGACGGTTTCCGGACCCCTGGTTCATACACTAATGACCTTACGTTTCCCGGTCATGTGACCAACCTCTCGTACAATGGAAAAGCTGTAGATCGTATAAACTTTACATTAAAACATTAATCAGAAGTTATACATCATATTCGGCAATATTACAGAACTATCATAGTGAGGGACACTAGAAATAGGTTTCAAATAATGTACCCATGTAAATTGTTGGGAATCAAACCCAGGCCATTGGTGTGACATTTGTTTGTATGTTGGTTAAAGCCGCACTCGGCAATGTTCCACCAATATGATGTGTTAAAACAATTTCTGGACCAGATAATTCAGTGATTGACATCATGGGGATCGGTCAACACAATTAAGATACAATGACATGCATCAACCAGCCTGATCCCGTTAGTCGCCTCTTACGACAAGCATAGTTGCCTCTTACAGTAACAATGGGTTGGTGAAAACCCGGATCTTCACAGGTTCATTGGTGTGATAAGCAACACTTCAACCACTAAGTTACCCCACTGTCCAAATATTTAAAGAGCTGATAATTTTTAGCCTAACAAAGACTGAAACATTGCCACTGAGGAATTAGGCCAATTGTGAACTGCATGATTCATGATACATCTGAATTAGAGACACAAACAAGGTGTGGGGGGACTTGATACTAAACTGCCATTAGACTGCTATTTTCGCCAAGCCTCGTCCCTGGATATTTTCAGGAAAACAACAGTTTTGGTATGAGGTTAACGAAGTTTAACGTAGAACTCACGCTTATTGCAAAAGCATAGTGGCATGCATGTGTGCATGCCTGCTTGAAATAGTTTGGACTAATGCCGGTTTTATAGTGGGAGTCCACTGAGATGCCACTAACATGGATACCCTGACTCTGAGCCGACCTGTCCCGGAATGCTGAATGCCAGGCAGGAAAACATGTACCATATTTTAATGTCATTTGGTAATGCATGGCCGGGGATGTAATAGGCTGATAATTGCAAGCCCGAGCCATGTGTAACCAACAAACAAAAAGAACATATGCAAAGTTGTTCATAATGTTCATACTGTGGCTAGACATAAAGGTTCCTGCAATGTCGTCACTGTAATCTAATACACACCATCTAGTGCAATACTGTATGAGTCATATATAAAACTATAGGATTTCATTATGCTAATGTGAAACTATGTGTGTTTTAATTCTAACGCTTCTCCACACCTGTGTGCAGCAAGTTAATGTCACGTGTCAGTCTACACGAGGGTCTACAGGGAGAGGGCACACCTGTATGCAGCAAGGTAATGTCATTTGATTGTCTACACGAGGGTCTACAGGGAGAGGGCACACCTGTATGCAGCAAGGTAATGTCACGTGACAGTCTACACGAGGGTCTACAGGGAGAGGGCACACCTGTGTGCAGCAAGGTAATGTCATGTGACTGTCTACACGAGGGTCTACAGGGAGTGGGCACACCTGTGTGCAGCAAGGTAATGTCATGTGATTGTCTACACGAGGGTATACAGGGAGAGGGCACACCTGTGTGCAGCAAGTTAATGTCATGTGATTGTCTTCACGAGGGTCTACAGGGAGAGGGCACACCTGTGTGCAGCAAGGTGATGTCATTTGATTGTCTTCACGAGGGTCTACAGGGAGAGGGCACACCTGTGTGCAGCAAGGTGATGTCATTTGATTGTCTACACGAGGGTCTACAGGGAGGGGTACACCTGTGTGCAGCAAGGTAATGTCATTTGATTGTCTACACGAGGGTCTACAGGGAGAGGGCACACCTGTATGCAGCAAGGTAATGTCACGTGACAGTCTACACGAGGGTCTACAGGGAGAGGGCACACCTGTGTGCAGCAAGGTAATGTTATGTGTCAGTCTACATGAGGATCTTCAGGGAGAGGGCACACCTGTGTGCAGCAAGGTAATGTTATGTGTCAGTCTACATGAGGATCTTCAGGGAGAGGGCACACCTGTGTGCAGCAAGGTAATGTCATGTGACTGTCTACACGAGGGTCTACAGGGAGAGGGCACACCTGTGTGCAGCAAGGTTATGTTATGTGTCAGTCTACATGAGGGTCTTCAGGGAGAGGGCACACCTGTGTGCAGCAAGGTAATGTCATGTGACTGTCTACATGAGGGTCTACAGGGAGAGGGCACACCTGTGTGCAGCAAGGTAATGTCATGTGACTGTCTACACGAGGGTCTACAGGGAGAGGGCACACCTGTGTGCAGCAAGGTAATGTTATGACTGTCTACAGTAGGGTCAACAAGGTTTGTTTGCCGCACTCAGCAATATTCCACCTACATGATGGCAGTCTGTAAATAATTAAGTGTGGACAATCCAGTGACTGACATCATGAACATCGATCTACACAGACATGCATCAACCAACACAGCGAGTCTGACCACCTGATCCCATTAGTCACCTATTGTGACATGCATAGTCGCTTCTTATGGTAAGCATGGGTGCTGAAGACCTATAATTCTAATGAGGATGTTCACGGGCATACAGCAGTGTCATGTCACATGGCTGTGCCTGTAGAAATTTAAGAACCGTTCTCTAATGGTTACTCTGGGGTGTGTAGATCTGAAGGTGCAGGTGACCCAAGCATTTGGTTTTGCAGGTTCTGACCAGAGAGGTCACTTTATCATGTTTACAATCAGCCATGTGATAACTGTACATATCACATTACAATTATCACACTCATTCTCACTACATCAATACCATCTTGGTATACTCCCCAAGGAGCTGAGAACGAAAATTTACTACAACTATTATTTTACATTATTTGTTACGACTACATGGATCCAATGTCATTTCAGCTATTCATGCTAATGCACATCTGGTCCTGAGTCATCCCGGTCATGCTTACAGTTACAATGAGATGTGTTTACAATCACAGGTTTGAACCAGTATTTCAACAAAACCAAGCGTGACCTATATAAAAATTGAGACTGAATACAGTGGATGCACAATATTTAACTGTGGGTCCATGGGTTTCAAACAGGCTGTCAGAATGATAAAAAAACAATTCAATGCATGCAAAATGATTTATGTTATATGTCTATTCTGTGAAGAATTACAATCAAAGTTAAGAATCAGACTGACCCCCATGTCCAACTTTCTTCCCCATGTTCATCATGTTCACATTCTCTCCATCTTTAAGTTGAGTTTCAAGCAAGGAAAATGTCATAGAGTTTACACCAGGTGAAGGTGAGGTGAGGTCAAATGGGGTTTAACGTCGCGTCCAAGATTATTGCACTTATATCGACGTGCATGCACGTGTATGTGTGTGTGTGGCTGCTTGTTCTAGTTCGGACTGATGCCGAT